ATTTACACGGGCAACGGAATTGCTGAAGCGATTCCTTTACTTTGGAACCAATTACGAGGCAATAAACAGATAATTTAATGCGTAAATTAATGAGAAGAGATGATTATTATTGGAAGGAAAAAGGAGGACAAGAGTAACATCTCATGGGATAATCAGTATAAATTGGATCAACTAATGTTCACAAGGCACAGAAGTTGAATGGAGATTGAAATGTCAAGTAAATATTGTCATCTCAATGATGATAATTATCAACTCCTTTGAGCCCAAGTTAACCCGATAAAATTACCATTTTAATGTAGAAAGGCATTAATGTCCAAATAGGTTCGATTAGAAGGGAAAACAGAATTTCGTTTTTATAGAGAAAACCAAAAGCACATTAATCATTAGCCATTACATTATATCATTTTGATTTACACCAAAAGAGCAAACAATATTCATGACAATCCTCATCATTGTATTTGCACATTAATGGACAACTCAAGAATCCAAGAATCAAAATGGAAATTGAAGAAGAAGAAGCGAAAAAAGGATAATCTGAATTTTCCAAAACAAAATATTCTTTATGATTGACTGGCTATAAATTTATTCTCATCACTTGAAAAATGTTATTTTTATACGTTATAATCAAGTTACCTTTTCGAGGAAAAAAAAGTATTTGATTGAAAACGATTAATGTTGCAAGTTGTTTAATCTTGAAACTCTTTTCATGTAAAAAAGTGACCAACACTTTTTTTCCATTCTATAATAATTATATGCTTAAAAAATGTCATGAATTGATAGTTGTATCATGAGTGGAATCAATTATAATGAATCAGTCATCCATAACAGATAAGATTCACACAAGGGTGAGAAAAGGCATGTTGCTCCATGTTCAGGGTTTTAATATCATCAGGTGGAAGAAGAAGAAGAAGAAGAGAAAAAAATGATGACAGGATAACTCATTTTCTTGGTTCATCAGAAGAAATCAATTTCACAAGTTGGTCGCCATCAATGATTAATAATCTGCATTAAATCGACAGGTAAAGTTGAAAAATATTGCGTTCACCCAACAGTTTCAACCTGTTATTTTGAATCAACAGCCAAAAAATAAACGATAACCTGATATTAATCGTCATTAAAGTTTACTTGAGTTCTTCCTGCAAGATGAAAATTTAAATTGAACCAAATTGCTCAAATTAAATCTTTTATTGAAATTAGTTTAAAGTTGAAACTTTAATTACTTTTTCATTGCAATCATTTGTGTTAATTTTTTTGTGGCCAAATAACAATTACAATAATTGTCAATCATTACTTGTCGGTGAAAAGTTTGCTTTATCTGGAAGGGATCGTTGAAAGAGCAACACTAATCAATTGAGCTAATTTTTAGCCGACTGATGGCCAATGAAATGAATGAATAACTGTGAGGGACATTTTGTTGGTCGATGATATCACCAAGCGCAAAACCAAAGTGAAAACAAAAGGAAACATTTGCCGAACATTCTTGTCCAAAGGACGTAAAACTTTATTGCTTTACCGACTTTTGCCTAAACCCTTTTGGCTGAATACTTTTTTTTTACCAGCCTATAAGAGCGATTCTTGAACTTTTGCTAAATACCTTTGTCCAACTATTCTGGTTATAAATTATACCAATCATCTTAATCTTTCACAAACCTTTTCAGCTCATTGACAATTTATCTCCAACAATATCTTTCAATGTTGATAGTTATTGCCAGGATTGATGAATATTTCAGACTATTTCAGAAAAGTTTATGGAAACAAGTTGAAGGCAAGGAACACAAAAAAAAACGAGGCAAACCTATAGAATGACTAAAAGACGAAGAAAAAGGAAAGTTCAGGTGAAAGTAATATTAACCAGAAGCTAATTGAGGTTAACCACGACGTTAACAAGCCTCATGTCGATTGTTATTGCCCTCCATGACTAATTGATGACCACCCTGTTGTTAGAGGAAAAGTTATTAAAGTAGAAAAAAAAGACAAAAGAAAATTGTTTCTTCTGTTTTTCTCCAACAATATAAAGAATTCATTTTTTTATCTCGAAAACCTTCAAATTGTAGTTTAAGGGTTGAGATGATCAACAATATTAATAGGATTTTACATTAATTTAGTAAATTAGCCTAACACTCTCATGACTTTTCTTGATGAAGATGGATCGATGGTGAAGAAGAAGAAGGAAGAAGAAGCAAAGCAAAGAGTTGAATTTACCTTCTAATAGAGAAGGCGTAATCTGTTTAAAAATTAACACAATTTTCGCTACTTTTTTCCATTCTCTTCTAAATTAATCATTTTCTTTCCATTTTCAAGCTTAGCTTTTTTCTTCTTCTTCTTCCTCCAACAATCGACCCAATTTGTATTACCTTTAATAGGAAACGCGGAGAAGCGAGAAAAGAAATGATGAGTTTTCGTCTTCTCTCACTTTGTAATAGCCTTTAAACTTGAACTTGAAATGATACAAATTACTTTCTACTGTTGCTACTACTTGAGCATGTCATCAATACATTATCATCTAGATTGTTTCGAAGAGAAAAAGATTGTTTCATGATAAATCAAAAGTTGAACACAGCAAACAAAAGAATTGGTAAATTACTAATTCGCCCTTTAAACTGATCAATACACATACAAGTATCCCGTTGGCCTTTTGTCTCGTTGAAACAATCTTTGCCTTTTCTCTAACTTTTTTTGCAACTTTAAATTTACCAACATCATCATCGTCATCATCAACTGAACAATAGTCAACTTTAACCACACAACAGCAATACAATGTAAATCTTTAGCCATTTTAATTTCCGTCTATTGTCAGTCGCTCTTTTTAACTCACAATTTACTCCTTTCCTTCACTAACCCATCATATTACCTACTCATCATCATCATCAATTCACTTCATCTTAATTTAATTCATTTTTAAACGGAAACTCTGTAAACGCTTGGTGATTCCCAAATCTTTTGCCTTAAAAAACCATTTTCGCATTCATTTTAAGTTTAACAATTTTTACTCCAAGAAAAAGACTGACAACAACAAAAGAAATTAAATTGTTAAGTTTAGTTACAAAATGATTAACAATAAATGTTGATGATGAATCAAGAGTTGCAGGAAATGCACATTAACGACTTTAAGATGATCAAAGATTGATGAAAAGATGAAAAGGGAGAGAAACAAAATTAATAGTAAAAAATGAACACAATTAACTTGCAAAGCAAGAAGCAAACAATTTAACAATAATGATTAAAAGTTAATATTAGCTAATATTGACAAGATTCATTTTACGCCAAGATGAATGTAAATGCAACCGCCTTCCTCAACCCTCGGCCCTTGAGATGATCAACACTTGAGGACTAAATAATCGTTAATTTATGCCGAAAAAAAAGAGTCCAAGTTAATTCCAAGTCAAACAATTGAACCCAAAAGCCACAAAAAAGCAACTCCAACCCAACACATTGACAATGTTTTTTTTTTCATTTTAATTCATGAATTTTTGACACAGCAATTGTCACTGTTAACACAAAAAGAGTGACTTTGTTATTCTGATAAATCGCGTCTTCCATTATTTATATTTGTTTCAATGAACAATGAAAATTATTGTTTAAAAAGTTTTCTTCTTTTGTTCATTTCTTTCCTTTTTTTTCAATTCAAGCTTTTTTTCGTGTTTAGCCTTTAGGATCATTATACAATAAACTGTGAGGTGATGAAAATAAATGAGGATAAAATTGAATAATAATGATAATCATGGTTATAATAAATTGCTGTGTAGTTAAGAGCACTTGTTCAAACAAATTTTGTTCACTTCAACTTTATTTACTTCTCGTCTCTCGATATGGTTAATTGTTGAAGGCAATTGTTCGCGATTCACCTTAATTTGTATCTCTACCTTGATTGTATTGAAATGGTTTCCATTCATTTCCATTTACCTCAACAATGGTAACAACTTTAATTGTTTACCATTCGTTTAAAAATTGCTGTTAATTTGAAACTTTTCATAATTATTACGATTGATAGGCAATTTCAATGAGGTGAACTCATGAAATGTTGGATTCAACTTTTGATTAATTATTTATCCAAATTATGATATTAATAATTAAAGAGTGTAATTTAACTTTTATTGTCAACATTTAATTATGGTTCTTGATCAAGTATCGAGAATCAATTGTAATCCAATTTTAACTTGAAATGGCAATAACAATTAAATGTAATTTAATTTTTAATTAATGGCAATATTGATGGAGAGACCTTTTCTTATACCAATTAACTATTGATTAATTTCATTTTTCACTTTCTCATCAACTTAATTTACTTTAATTAACCTAATCAATGAAAGGAAAATGTTTTTTTTTCTTCTTCCAGTAACTCAATCGATAATTGTCTTCCCATTGATTATTGAATAAGAGGATAAATCACAATTAAGATTGACTCGGAAAGATAGGTAAGATAAAGGTTAAACTAATTGCATTTGAAAGGAGATTAATTAATTTTAAAATGTTTATTTGACTTTAGCGATGTAATCCTTTTGGCCGAGAAAAAGGCTCATCAAGGGAACGGGTTAACTTTTGCAACACAGGTATCAATGTCTTGTCCAGTGTCATTCAAGTTTAACATGATTTACCTTTTTTTTGTGTAAATCATCTTTTGTTTTCAAGTTCAGGCGAAATCGGCATTTCAACTCTTTTCTATCTTTCTCTCTCTTCCTTTCTTATCTTCTATCTTTTACCTTTGCTTTACCTGTATATCTTACCTTTTAAAGCTCCCAAGAGACAAGCAATAAAAAACGATTTCTGGTTAAACTTGTAACCAAAAATTAACCGCAATCATTAACTACTAATTACTTTATTGCCGTAACCTTTTGCTTTTGGCTTATTCACACACACACACACCAAACATCATCATTCTTTTTGTTAACATTTTTACAATTTTCTTGAAACCCATCTTCATCCAACATCACAACTCTCAAGTAAATGCCTTAAAGAACCGCAGATTGTAAACAATTTGAAGGAAAAAGAAACGACACTTTTTTTGATAACTAACACTCTCTTTTATATGTATATCAATATTTTGTTTTTTTTGTCAATATAACATTGGAGAGTGGATTATGATCACAAATTGGTTAGGTTTCAGTTGCCTTTTGGTGGATCACCTGATGAGGATGAGGGTGAAAATGATTGGGCTTGATGGGGAGATGTGAACAGGTTGGGATAGATGGTCGGGGGAATGAAAGCTGCCTGACGATAGTAAATGTCGAAAGGAATCGTTTGTTGTGGTAAAATGCTTGTTATTCGGTTCATCCAATTCGGATTGGTCTCAAACATTCGCTTAACGGCCGCATAATTTCCAGCCTCAGCTAGGAGCTCTAGGCCAACGGCCGTTTGTCTCTTCCATTTGGTCCGTCGATTTTGATACCAAGTTTTCACTTGAGTGTCACTCAAATTTAATTTTGCTGCTAACTCCATACGATCCTGGACACTTAAATATTTTGAGCGCTCGAAACTTTTCTCCAAAGTCTAAAAACGGAGACATAAATTATCATTATCTTCACTATTTCCATCGTAGAGTTGAGATTGAAGGAGTAAACAGTAAAGGGTTAAAGACTTACCTGAAGCTGGTGATCTGTAAAGGCTGTTCTTGCCTTCCTCTGCTTTTTTTGAACTTTTATCTCTACTTTCTGCTCATTTTCATCGTAATCCGAAAATTCATTTTCCTCATCAGATTCTAGAGTTGATTGGTTTTGATGAAGTTGATAGTGATGTTGGTGTAGTTGATGGTGATGGTGAAGTGGATGATGAGGGTGTGGATGGAGAAGAGGATGAGGCGGATGAGGAAAGCCACTGAGAATGTCTTTAATAAAAAACGAAGAAACGTTTGAAGAAGATAAATTGGGTATTGCTGGTGGCTGTGGTTGCACTGTTGCTGCGCCATTGGATGGCGGTGAGGTTGATGAAGATGAAGTTGGTATCTCTGGTGACTGAGGCATAACTGATACTGTCACTGGTGGCGATGAAGATGAAGACGAGGATGAAGATGATGATGACACTAAAGTGTTCGATGAGGATGTTGATGTGGCCGTTAGTGTTGTCGCTGTTGGCGGAGTCGTTGAAGGCGACAATTCAATCTCCTTTTTAACTGGACTTTTATTTGAAGAGGACATTGTTAGTTTTCTTGACGAGTTGATCAAATTTGAAAATGATACAGTTACAGTCATCCTTTGAGTTGCATTACAATGACAGTTATCTCACTTGTCAATCTGTTGATAAATAATGTTAATCCTTGATAGTTGATCAAACACACAAACAAATAGAAGCCCAAATTTTTGCAAATTTTCGCAATTTTAATGTTGTATTTTGATTTGAATTTAAAGATACGATTCGAAATCTTTTTTGCTTTAAAGAGCAATTTTTTTTCTTCAAAAAAAGACTCAACTGTTAGACAACAACTGACTTTAAGCTTAAGAGCTAAAGATTGTCTAAATGAACATAGAAGTTGCAAATACACACAAAATAGCGACTGTCAAACAAATAACTGGAAATCATTTTGAGGCAACTAAAAAAGAGACTTGAATAGGCGGATCAACATTGCATCAACACCTTCAACCCTCCTCTTCATCTCTTCCAATCCCACCTTTTATTATTATTAGATGCAGCAAACAGTGTATCGATTTTACCACTAATCACATCGTGTTAGCTTCTTGCCTCTCAAATGAAACAAATTAAACCACCAATTTCAAATGATAATTGCTTCTTTAAAAATCTTAATTGGCCAAATTTACAATCAGATGAAAAGTGTATAATTTTGCTATTCATGATTCAGAATAATTGGTTACTATAGTTATGCTTATTTCTTGATCTGACGATAGTCTTTTCGATGTCAATTGATTGTTTCCTGCTCAGTGCAAAAAGACTTTGCTTTCGTTTTCGTCAAAACGGAAAAGGTTCTAAAAGAAATTGTAAGGGCAAATGATGGGCATGATTTGACTGACAATTTGAGGTTCGTTTGAGCTTATGAGGAGTTCAGGTTCATGAGAAAATCATTCAAATCAAAATATAATTTCAATGGACGGGGTGCCATCTATTGGTATACAAATGGGTTGAGAAATAATTGCTATAATTTCATCACTCGATTATTAATTAGTTTCATTATATTGATGTATTTCATCGAAAGATGTGGCCTTAGGTTTTGCAGAGTGTTTTGGTGAAGTTGTTGTGTGTTCAGTGCTTCTTTGTTTTTGCTAATTTTATCAATCGATGATTGTCTTTCCATTGATTGTTGTATGCAAGGATAAATCACAATTAAGATTGACTCTCAATTGAGATTAATTAATTTTAAAATGTTTATTTGACTTTAGCGATGTAATCCTTTTGGCCGAGAAAAAGGCTCATCAAGGGAACGGGTTAACTTTTGTAACACAGGTATTAATGTCTTGTCCAGTGTCATTCAAGTTTAACATGATTTACCTTTTTTTGTGTAAATCATCTTTTGTTTTCAAGTTCAGGCGAAATCGGCATTTCAACTCTTTTCTGTCTTTCTCTCTCTTCCTTTCTTATCTTCTATCTTCTATCCTTTACCTTTGCTTTACCTGTATATCTTTACCTTTTAAAGCTCCCGAGAGACAAGCAATAAAAAACGATTTCTGTTTAAACTTAGAACCAAAAATTAACCGCAATCAGCTAATTACTTTATTGCCGTAACCTAACCTAACCTTTTGCTTTTTGGCGCATTCACACACCAAACATCATCATTCTTTTTGTTAACATTTTTACGATTTTTCATCAGTCTATCTTCAACTCATCTTCAACATCATCAACCTCTTAAATAATTATCTTGAATAAATTATGAAATTTGAAAAACAGCGCTTATATTGATAACTAACTCGTTATTTATTTAAAAAATTAAACACTCGAGAGTGCATAAAAAATTGGCTCATTTGGTTCGTCATTCATTTTTATCATCGGATTCTAGGGTTGATTGACTGCGACGAAGTTGATAGTGATGGTGATGAGAGTGTGGATGGAGAAGATGCTGCGGATGAGGGAAGTCACTGAGAATAAATTAATAAACTAAGAACACATAATAATTGTTATCTTTAAATTATTTAACTTCTGCTTTCTGTTCTGACAGTGTCAGACTGACACTTTCCATGACCAAAGTTTTTTTTCTGAAGATCGCATTGATAGTGAACTAATTTGATAAGTTTCTAATTCCATGTTATAGCTAAAATTAAAAAAGATGATGAAATAATTTGATGAAACTAAATTACCAACGAAGACAGTTTAATGATTTAAGGTTGAAGAATTAATAGACTTTAATGGAAAAATGGAGTAACAATTAAAAACGTCCACGACCACCTCCATCACCTCTGCCTCCGCCGCCACCGCGATCTCCTCCTCCTCGTCCACCACCAGACTTCTTCTTTTTTATCACCTTGTTGTCCACAGGTTTAGGTAAGAATCTTGAAAGTGGTAAAAGCTTGTTTGGGTCAATGAACACTTTCTGGTTAGTGGGAAATGAATTTGCTTTGAATTTGTCCGATAAAGATACTGATACGGAATAATCCTTGATGGGTCCAAATATTTCATCTACTTTACCAATCATCTCTTTGTTTTCAAGATAAACTGGAGCGTTAAAATATGGCACATCTTCGGAAGTTGCTTTAACTACCAATTGTGATTGACATGGATGAGTGTAAAATCCGAACTCTGTTACAGATTCTGGAGGTTCATTTGGGTCTTGTCGACCAAATCTCAATCAGATCTCAAGTTCTCAATGTTCGCAATCAGATCAGGACAAAAATAATTAATAATAAATAATAAATAGTAAATTACAATTTGAAAAAACAGTCCTTTTATTGGTAACGCTGCAATCGCTATTTATTTAAAAAATTAAACACAAGAGAGTGAATTAAAAATTGGTTGAAAGCTTTCAGTTGAAATGTGGTGAAAAATTTGGAGGCATGTAGGCTGCCTGGCGATAGAACACATCGAAAGGTATCGTTTGTTGAGGCATAATGTTCATCCAATTTGGATTCGTTTCAAACATTCGCTTAACGGCAGCATAATTTCCAGCCTCGGCTAGCAACTCTAGACCAACGGCCGTTTGTCTCTTCCATTTGGTCCTTCTATTTTGGTACCAAGTCTTGACTTGCGTATCAGTTAAATTTAATTTAACTGCCAATTCAATCCTTTCTTGGACACTTAAATATTTCGATCGCTCGAAACTCTTCTCCAAAGTCTAAAAACAAAAGAAAATTTGCATTAAATTAACTATTGCCAGCTTAGAATTAAAAGATTAAAGACTTACCTGAAGCTGGTGATCTGTAAAGGCTGTTCTTGCCTTCCTTTGCTTCTTTTGAACTTTTATCTCTAATTTTTGCTCGTTTTCATCTAAATCTGAAAATTCATTTTCCTCATCAGATTCCAGGGTTGATTGGCTTTGATGAAGTTGATAGTGATGTTGGTTAAGAGAATTGTGAGAGTGAAGTTGATGGTGAGCGTGTGGATGATAAAGGTGATGAGGTGGTTGTGGAAATCCACTGAGAATGTCTTTAATAAAAAACGAAGAAACGTTTGATGAAAAATTTGGTATTGCTTGTGGCTGAGGTAGTACGGGACCGGCAACATTTGATGGTGGTGAGGTTGATGAAGCTGGTAATAATATCGGTGGCGATGAAGATGAAGAAGAAGAAGAAGATGATGATGATACTGAAGAGTTCCATGACAATGCTGGTGGAGTTGTTGGTGATGATGAAAAGTGTGTTTTAAATGGACATTCATTTGAAGAGGACATTGTTAGTTTTTTTGTCGAGTTGATCAAAGCTGGAAATGATGTAGTTACAGGCATCCTTTGAGTTGCATTACAAAAACAATGATCTCACTTGTTGATAAATAATGTTAATCCTTGATTGTTGATGAAAACACAAACAAATTGTAGCAAAAATGTTTGCAATTTGAATGTTGTAGTTTGATTTGATTTGAATTTGAAGAAACGATTTGAAATCTTTTTTGCTTTAAAGAGCAATTTTTTTGAAAAAAGGCACAACTTCTGCAATTAAGTTTTAGAGTTAAAGACTTGGGTCTTGACTTAAAATGTCTCAATGAATGGCAAAATTCAGACTAACAACAAAACTGAAAATGATCCTGAAGTATAACTAAAAAGAGAGAGGCGGGTCAACACCTTGTTTCCCTCCTCTTCATCCCGCCTTTTATTATTATTAGAGGCAGTAAACTTTGGATTGATTTACCTCTATTTACACTGTACAGTGAAAACCTCTCAAACGCTTGGATTTAGACCAGCATCGCCATCTTTGGGATTTAAGATCATCTTTGCTTTTACGATGCAATTATGTTAAAAAGTTGAAGCCTCCGATCAGATTATCGTAAATATCTTTCCACTGAATACAAGAAATTAAATACATATTTAATAACTCAAATTGTCTATGAAAACCATCAATTATGTGAAAAACTGAATAAAAAATATCTGCTTCTACAGCTGAACAAAATGAAATCTAAATTTGAAATTTGAAAGCGATTTCATTGTCTATGCCTCTTAGGAGCTTTGCAAGGTAAAAATGTCGAGAAATAGTTACGAATGTCGATTCCGCTTGGACTTGAAAAACACTGTAAAGGTAAAACCATTAAAACCCTAATGATTGTTGAAACAATATTTTAAGCAACTAAAGAGTAAACAAGTTCAGTCCATGAATTTTTCGTTACATTGTGTCATTGACTTCTACTGACTTCATTGTAATAATACACTGTGTTCAATGGCATTAAGACCAGCATCTGATTGCCATATTTTTTCAATTTAAATGTTTGTTTAGCATCTAAAGCTATTGAACAAAATTTTTTCGATTAAATCAATAAAGTCTGAATATTAGGTCATTTTATGATCTTTTTTGCTACTTTTTGTAAAATATCCTTTTCTATTTGAATTTTAAGCAACTAAAGAGTAAACAAGTTCAGTCCATGAATTTTTCGTTACATTGTGTCATTGACTTCTACTGACTTCATTGTAATAATAGTCACTTTTAACAATTTTAATAACAGTCCAGTTACACGGACACAAGGCGTAACTAGCAAGACTTACAGACTTTGAGTATCCAATCAAGACAATGTAAAAATTGAGATTAACCATTTAGCTCTTTTTAGAAACATCATTTTTTAAGTGGTGAATGATAAATTCAAACTTCTGTCTCTTGTGCTTCAGTTTCGATTTCTATTTTTTCTATCTCTTAAGCAAAATAAAACAAACTAAAAACACATAATAATTGCTATCTTTAAATTATTTAACTTCTGCTTTCTGACACTTTCCATGACCAAAGTTTTTTTTCTGAAGATCGCATTGATATTGAACTAATTTGATATGTTTCTAATTCGATGTTATAGCTAAAATTAAAAAAGATTGATGAAATAATTTATTGAAACTAAATTACCAACGAAGACAGTTTAATGATTTAAGGTAGAAGAATTATTAGACTTTAATTGAAAAATGGAGTAACAACTAATAACGTCCACGACCACCTCCACCACCTCTACTCATTCTAGCCCATGAAAAAATCAGAGAAAGCAATCTTTGTCAAATTTTTCAAGTTTTTATATTTAACCTTATTTTCATGGGATTTTTCACCCGCTAGCTGTTTTGTCTTCAATTTTTGTTCCATTTTGTCAATTTGAAAAAAAGCGCTTTTATTGATAACTTTAATTGTTATTTATTTAAAAAATTAAACACCCGAGAGTGAATTGCTTATATCGTTAGTTGAAGTGTGGTGAAAAATATGGAGACATGAAGGAAGCCTGACGATAATAAATAGGGAAAGGAATCGTCTGTTGAGGCATAATGCTTGTTAGGTTCATCCAATTTGGATTTGTTTCCAACATCCTTTTAACGGCACCATAATTTCCAGCCTCAGCTAACAGCTCTAGGCCAACGGCCGTTTGTCTCTTCCATTTGGTTCGTCGATTCTGATACCAAGTTTTTACTTGCGTATCAGTTAAGTTCAACTTTGAGGCTAGGTCCATCCTCTCTTAAACACTTAAATACTTTGAGCGCTCGAAGCTCTTCGCCAATGTCTAAATAAGAACAAATTTCATTAATTTCACTTTCATTTTTCCAGCTTAACAATTAAAGATTAAAGACTTACCTGAAGTTGGTGATCTGTAAAGGCTGTTCTTGCCTTCCTCTGCTTCTTTTGACCTTTTATCTCTACTTTCTGCTCGTTTTCATCGTGCTCCGAAAATTCATCTGACACTAAAGTGTTCGATGAGGATGTTGATGTGGCCGTTAGTGTTCTCGCTGTTTGAAGAGTCGTTGAAGGCGACAATTCAATCTCCTTTTTAACTGGACTTTTAGACTGGGCGGTTCAACACCTTGTTTCACCTTTTATTATTATTAGAGGCAGTAACGAAGCGATTTCAATGAAAACCTTCGATCAGAAAATTTTCCCGATCGAAATCACCCAAATGGTTTCAGTTGTTATGTCCCTAAGAGTTCACCATTTCTGTTGAGAATTGAAATTTGAAGAGTTTTCTGGAAAACCTTTATGACCTGTCATCGTATTTAAAAATGAAACAATTTTCTTGACTCAACTCGGTTTAAAATCTGCTAAACCTTACTAAACTTGAAACTCGTAAAGATGTTATTACAATAAAAAGACATTTTTCAATGAATCAACCAAAGAAGCATTTAGAGCCTGATAGCCAGGCAGATAGTCAACCTTTTTAAACGGTTCCTTTTGCAGATCCGAACAAAGTCATAAAAAGATTAAGAGATTGGTGAAACTGGACAGAACGTAAAATTTATGCTCATTCGAGTCTAGGCCTCTTGGGAGCTTTAAAAGGTAAAAATGTCGAGAAATAGTTACGAATGTCGATTCCGTTTGGACTTGAAAAACACCGAAGAGGTAAAATCATTAAAACCCTAATGATTGTTGAAACAATATTTTAAGCAACTAAAGAGTAACAAGTTCAGTCCATGAATTTTGCGTTATATTGTAATAATAGTGACTTTTAACAATTTTATTATCAATTAACTTGAAACCATTGGTTTTCACTTTTTTCACCTTTTTTTCATCATTTGAATGGGATTCCGATACTTTTTCATTTCCTCAACTAATCACACAATCTATCTTTATCTAACGTGTGAGGCGAAGTTAATCACAAGAATCAATTTTTAACAACCTTTTTTATATCCGATTACGACTTTCTTATGAAGATACTATCGCCAAATGTCGATCTCGAGGATTTTAAATGGACGAGATTAGCGAAGTTCTCAATGTTTGGCAATCAGATCAGGACAAAAGTACTATCACCCTTGTGCATTAAAGCTGACATTGTGCTCAGTGATTTAACCATTTAGCTCGATTTTAACTTCTGTCTCTTTTGTTCATGTCTATTTTTTTGTATATCTTAAGAAAATTAAACAAACCAAACAAACTAAAAGCTCTTCATGATTACCAGAATAATGCAACTCAATATCATTTCAATCTACGAGGTGCCATCTATTGGGCTTCAAATAAAGTTGTGACAAATGACTGCTGTTTCATCTCTTGATTAGAAATTGATTGATATTAGTTAGATGAAAAAAATGTGGCCTTTAGGGTCTGCGAAGTAAGCAGAGTGCCTTCCTAAAGGTCTTGTGTGTTCCGTCCTTGTCAAGGGGAGTGCTAAACATCTCTCCTTTCATACAACACAATCTAGTGAAACTGTTTTGCTCGTAATATGTATAGAGGAAATATTTGCGAATCTAAAAGAAACGTCTTTATGAATAATTTCATCTGCTTAATAAGACTATGACGAAAATAAATTATTAATTTGCATAATTGACTTTATTTCAGTAAAATGATTCTTTCTTTCTGATTGAAATTTCATGGAAATCTGGTTATAGCTGTTTAAAAGATTGTTCATAGTAGCTAAAAGTGCTTTATTGCAGTTTTATATCTTTTTTAGAGAAAAAACAATTCGATTGGTTTGAACTTGTGGTTCCGAGTTTACTATTATATTGATGATTGTGATCTGATTGTCAACATTATGGAAATTATGGATACAATAAATTTTTTATCAAATCGATACAGACGAATTAAATACAGATATAAATATATAGGAGTTATAAACAATATTCTAATCATCATCACCATCCTCTGCATAATCTTTTTTACGTCCAAATTGTTTATTCCATTCGATGTAATTGGTCAAATCAGATGGGGCAACAGTTGCCTTAACTGTGTCCAGTGCGGCAGTAAAGTCTTGGTAAGTAATGGGTGGAAGAGACTCTTTAGTTTCATATTTTTCTAAATCAGGCATCACTCGCCTAATCGGGCCATAGGCAGCTTCTCGACACAAACAACAAATATCAGCTCCAGAGTAGCCTTTGGTTTGTTCGCAAAGTTCATTTAGTTCCCTTTCATTCAAAGTATGTTTTTCAGCAGCAATGAGTCTTCTCATTAAATCACAGCGAGCCTGCTTGTTTGGAAGTGGAATATAAAGTCTTGCATTAAATCGCCGCCTTGCAGCTTCATCTAGTTCATGGGGACGATTAGTGGCTCCAATCACAAGTAACCTTTCTTCATGATCGGTAGCAAGACCATCAAATTGAACTAAAAATTCAGTCTTTAATCGACGAGAAGATTCGTGTTCCGAGTCATTTCGTTGAGTTAAAAGTGAATCAATTTCATCAATGAAGATAACTGCTGGTTGCTTGATTCTGGCTATGGCAAATAAGGCTCTAACCATTTTTTCACCTTCCCCAATCCATTTGGAAGTTAAAGATGATGCAGAAATAGAAAAGAAAGTTGATCGCGATTGACTTGCTATACATTTCCCTATCAATGTTTTACCGGTACCAGGAGGACCAAATAATAGAATTCCCTTAGATGGAGCGCGAAGACCAACGAACAACTGGGGTTTCAGCATGGGTAATATAACGATTTCCCGGATACTTTCTTTAGCAGATTTTAATCCTGCAATGTCTGACCAATCGACGCCCTGACCATCAGTTCTTTCGATTATCTCGTTGAGTATTCGATCGACAATTTTGGCATCCAAATTTTTCGCTTTTGGATGCTGTAATATCTCCTCAACCTCTTTTGAAACTTCTCCTTCATTATCATCATCATTTTTTTTAGCTTTCTGAGAGCTAGTGGAGCTGGTAATTTTTTGTGAGCTTTGGACCTTTTTACATGGCTGCACAAACGGTTTAACAACAGCAGGTAACTTATTAGCTAAGAAATCAGCACGGACGGAATCTTTTGATACTACTTCAACTTCATTATCACCTTCACCATCAGATTCATCTGTTCGATGTCGTTTATTGTTGTTTTTATTTGTTCTCTTGAATATGGGATGACTAGACCAGTTTTCATAATTCTTTTTCTGCTTGTGGTTCTTCAGCAACATTTGCCGAGCGGTGTAAAAATTGGTCGAGTTATTTTTTTCCATTAGAGGTGATCCCGACATTAAAATCCAATGATTATGATTTTAACAAATGGAATAACAAAGTCACATTAATAACTAAAACAAAAACAATTGAACAAAGGATAAATTAAACTCAATTGACCCTCCAAAAAAGCGTTATTTTTACATAAATTCATGTTGAAATAGCAATTATTCGTTTCAAAGTTTAGAAAGCAGCGCCATCTTCACGGGCAAAGGAAATAAGATTTTTGAAAATCACATGTTTTACACATTGACGTGATATTTGTTTACTATCAAACTTTCTTAATTTAATAGTGTTTATTTTTCATAATTTATTATTTTGTAAATGGGTTTTGGACGAGGTGGAAGTGGTTTTGGCCGCGGCGGCGGTAGCGGCGGTGGTCGTGGACGTGGAGGAGGATTCGGTCGCGGAGGAGGACGTGGCGGAGGTAGAGGTGGATTTGGTCGACAAGACCCAAATGAACCTCCAGAATCTGTAACAGAGTTCGGATTTTACACTCATCCATGTCAATCACAATTGGTAGTTAAAGCAACTTCCGAAGATGTGCCATATTTTAACGCTCCAGTTTATCTTGAAAACAAAGAGATGATTGGTAAAGTAGATGAAATATTTGGACCCATCAAGGATTATTCCGTATCAGTATCTTTATCGGACAAATTCAAAGCAAATTCATTTCCCACTAACCAGAAAGTGTTCATTGACCCAAACAAGCTTTTACCACTTTCAAGATTCTTACCTAAACCTGTGGACAACAAGGTGATAAAAAAGAAGAAGTCTGGTGGTGGACGAGGAGGAGGAGATCGCGGTGGAGGCGGTTTCGGTAGAGGAGGCCGTGGTGGAGGCTTTGGTCGCGGTGGCGGCGGAGGAGGCTTCGGCGGTGGAGGAGGCTTTGGCCGCGGAGGCGGTGGTAATCGTGGAGGCTTCGGTCGTGGCGGTTTCGGTCGCGGCGGAGGCGGAGGCAGAGGTGGTGGAGGTGGTCGTGGACGTTATTAATTGTTACTCCATTTTTCAATTAAAGTCTATTAATTCTTCTACCTTTAATCATTAAACTGTCTTCGTTGGTAATTTAGTTTCAATAAATTATTTCATCAATTTTTTTCAATTTTAGCTATAACATGGAATTAGAAACATATCAAATTAGTTCACTATCAAAGCGATCTTTACAAAAAAACTTTGGTTATGGAAAGGTTGGAAAGTGTTAGAGTAGAAAACAGAAGTTAAATAATTTAAAGATGCCAATTATTGGGTTTTTAGTTTGTTTTATTTTGCTTAAGAGATAGAAAAAATAGAAATCGAAACTGAAGCACAAGAGACAGAAGTTTGAATTTATCATTCACCAATTAAAAAATGATGTTTCTAAAAAAGAGCTAAATGGTTAAATCGCTGAGCACAATGTCAGCTTAATTTACAAGGGTGATAGTATTTTTGTCCTGATCTGATTGCCAAACATTGAGAACTTCGTATTCCTGAAGAACTTCTTCAATCTCGTCCATTGAAAATCCTCGAGATCGACATTTATCGATAGCATCTTCATAAGTAATTTCATTCAATTGTCTTTCCTCGAAAATTCCGCGAATAAGACGATATATTTTGTCAGGACCATGAGAGCTTCGCGTAATGTCAAGATTTCCATCTTTATCAGCAGATAAGGTTTCTTTTGAAGCTATAATGAGATGAATTGCTTCCTCAATGTCAGATTTTTCGACGGTATCAGAAAGTCGTAATCGAGCCAGTGCAGATGATAATCGAATGATTGCCAATAAACTTCTTGCAGAGGTGAAAGTCATATCTTTATCATTACGAGCTTCTTTCCTCATTTCTATGTAAGCGTTGACAATATGGTTGGTTAAGGATTCTGGAATGATTGGATTCACCTTCTTACAAGCAGCAATGAACCTTCTCATAGTTTTCATGTCGAAAGGCTCAAAATCTAATGTTGGTTGAGAACTATTCTGATGGACATAAGTAATGAATTTGGCTAATCTAAGATCATTATCTTGATCCGGTTTATCTTGGATCAACCAAAGTAGATCAAACCTAGACAATAATGCAGCAGGAAGTTGAATATTCTGAGCAACAGATTTCTTTGGATTATATCGACCAAAAACAGGGTTAGCTGCTGCCAAAATTGATACACGTGCGTTCAATGTAGTCAAAATTCCAGCTTTAGCGATTGAGATTGTCTGTTGTTCCATGACTTCATGAATAGCAGTTCTATCAGCATCCATCATTTTGTCAAATTCATCGATACAACAAATGCCCTGGTCAGCCAATACAAGCGCACCACCTTCAAGAATCATTTCCCCAGTAACCTGATCTTTCATAACAGCAGCAGTGAGACCAACACCAGATGAACCACGACCAGTTGTATATTGACCTTTAAAGAAAAATTGGGGTTAGATTTACTTAAACCAACTAATAGAGAGCTGCAGATTAAAAGAGATAAACTTACTTCTTGGAGCTAATCTATCAATGAAAGCCAATAATTGAGATTTAGCAACACCAGGATCACCCATTAAACAAATATTGATGGCACCACGAATTTTCATTCCATATGGACTTTTATCGACTCCACCAACAAGTAATAATAAAAGAGCCTTCTTTAAATTGTGATGGCCATAAATTTCAGGAGCGATACTCTCAGCTAATTTAGCATAGAAATTTTCTTTTGAAGCAAATTCTTTAGCCTCTTCACGGCTCATACAATCGTCTGACATTTCATCATCTTCAGTCTTGTTCATTTTAACTATACGGTGAGCGTCTAAAAATGTTTCACTGATTAAACCACCAACCAATGCCTTGAAACCAGTTTTAAGTGAGGGTAAAAATATGCCTGTGATAGCAATATGATCACCGGGTAATGCTAATCTTGTATTCTCTCCTCGAGCAATCACGGTTAGACTACGAGGAACATTACCAACTGGTACTTGATCACTGTGTTCTTGAACTTTTAATTCTTGGAACTTGATAAATCGAGAGGCACGAGTTTGGAAAAACAATTTACCACCAGTTTTGTTTGTTCGGCATTCAACTGAGGGACATCGATCCATTGGAATATAAGAATAACTGTTGATAGGTTGATACGCTTCATTACCACATTTATCACAAGTATAAGTAGCCACGGTTATCATTGGTTTAACATCAGTACACCGTACAACAATTCCTTTTACAGTGACAAGTTTACCAATACTTTGAGCTTTTACAGATCGAACAGAAATGGGTCTTTGTTTGGCTGGTGCTTTAAAATATATTTCATATCGCCTCATCAATTGAGGAGGGTATTTATTGTAGAGATCTGCCGATACATCATCACTTCCTTTGGCTGCTTGTTCTGCAAGAATACGATGCTCAATGAAAACATCCAGAATATCTTTAGCGATGTTATCTTTTGTCCGATATTTCGGTAATAATGAGGTTATCGCATCTGAAAATAAAACGACATAACGCTTCGCATTGGCAATCACTTTTTCACCAAGATCCTCATCAAATTCGTAAAGATCATCCAAATCTATGGTGATTACATTTTTCTCATTATTGGCTAAACATTGTATTTCCTCAGCATATTTATTAGAGGTCGAATCATCTTTAATAGCCGTGAATGACTCCAGAAAGTCTTTTATTTTTTCTGCATAAAAATAAAGTAAATAAATTAAATGACAGGAAGAACGAGGAGCTATGAATAAGGATACAAGAAACATAAATACTACTTACCAGCGTCGTTTTCGTACGAAACCATTATTAATAAAAATTAGCTTGATTAAAAAAAAGTAAATTTGATAAGTGAAATAAAATTAAATGATCTCAAATAGCAGCAAACGATACTTTGCTTTGTTCTTGGTTAAAAAATTTCTCACAATTTGGCGGGATTTTATAGGGACTGTCTCAACTTTAAATATCGTTTCAGATGTCTAAATAGATCGATATATCGTAAGCAATTATTTGAGTTTAACTCAAATAAAGTTATATGACAAAGTTTCAATGAATGTTTCAGGAACTTTTTGGCTTGCATTCAAAGAGAACCACTGAAAAGTTAAACAACAAAAGATGAGGATGTTGATGATTAAGGAGATAAATCGAAAGTAAAGTAGAAAGGAACTAGAAGAGAGAGAGATTTAAATATATAAATGTGAGTGAAAAAGGTTAAAAATAGATTGCATCCAAAGTGAACCTAGAAGAAATAATAATCAAAATTGCGTTTGTTTAATCATTTAGACTCTCTCGTGTTTCATCTCTATCTTCATTTAAATATCAAAAGTAATTGCATGAAAAGTCTCATTTTAATATTTATTGTGAAAAATTAATTTTAGCAACTGTTTGAATAAAAGCAAATAATTAATTGTGATTTCAGGTTCAACCTTGTCCACAGATCTTTTTTTATAACCAGTAAATAACTAATCTCGAGATGGGTGAAGATTTAACAGAAGTTGATGTTAGACAAAGGAAATCGGGTAAAAATAAAAATCTTGGTGATGATGGATACAGCAGTCCTGGTGAAAATGTTCATGGTGCGAGTAAAAGACGGAGACGAGGTCGAAATGATAAAATCGATGGCAACGTAAATACCCCTGAGAAAGAAGTCACAAGTGAAGCTATTGATCTGAAGGGTAAAATTGGAAAGAAACGTGAAGTCAATGTGGACGATGGTGATGATGGCGATGATTACAGTTCTCTTGATTCAAGTTTAGATGATGAAGAATCTTCTGGCAGTTGGCTGTTCAAGCTGGTTATAATTGCGATTATTGTATCGCTTGGATTTTCTTTAATGTGGTTTAATGATGGTGATTCTTCAAGAGATTTAGGTGAAATTGTTTCTGATGGGGAATCGATTGATGATGGCGTCGAATCTTATGTTTCGTCGAAGATTGGAGAGGATAATGATGATGATCGAGATCGAGATGATATTGGCCTGGAGTCTGAGGACAAGAGTTATGAAGATAAGTATCAAGAGTATCAACAAACTTCTGAATTCCAAGATCATTCACAGTGGAGTCATGATTACAGTGAATCTGATAGAATGGGCGGAGAAATTATTGCTGAAGTCTCTGATTCTGTAGGAGATTCTCAAAGTGAATCAAATGAAGAAGCAGAGTACCAAATGAATCAGAATCAGGATTATTCACATAATGAACCAGAGATTGATCAACAGCCGTCGGAAGAATGGTCATGGAGCATTCAAGAGCAGTTGGATAATTCAGCTGCCCATCCTTCAAATGAAGAAACAAATCCGAACCCTGAGACACAATCTAATCCGGTAGAAGAGCAATCCAATCCCAGCTTTGACCAACAAGCATGGCAATATCAGGAGCAACAAAACGAACCAGATCAGCAACAACAAACACATGAACAATTTCATGAACAAATACAAGAACAAGCTCAAGAACAATATGAACCAAGACCAGATGATCAACAAGCTCAATCAATTGCTGATGCCCCTGAACAGTATGATAATCCTCCAATGGGCAACTATGAGCCATATACTGAAACTGGTAGTTACTTTGAATGTCCAGCTGGAAGTCATTGGGATGGTTTAGCATGTGTAGACTCTGATTCCTATGGCCAAATTGATAATACAAATGATTATGTTGCTCAACCAGATTCAACCACTGAAAGTATTATTTATCCTGAGCAACAATAAATAAGAAATCAAAAGAAAATAAAATTGGATGAGTTAGTTGATTGGAAAAGAACTCATTAAAATTTGTTATAATCGGATGAATTTTATGTTACTGTACAAATTGACAAATGAAATCTGTAAAACAAAAGAAATATTGACTCATTTGATTTAAATTGCCTAAAAATTTACCAAAATTAATCGCCGAACTCCAAACAAGTTTTAGGCTGTAAGTTAACGGTTTATTCATTATTTTTATTCGGAGAGAGAGAGAGAGAGAGAGTAAGCAAACCAGCAGATGGCTGCACCTATTCAATAAAGCATTCATTCAATAATACATAACAAGGCTGATCCAGTTAGAAAATATTTGACGGCATTTTACCTTTAAAGTTTCTTATTTAGTTTGCCACGTGTTATTGATTCTCTCTTTTATCTCCCATTAATTTATTTATTAATAACAAACAATGTCAAAAAATACGAAAGATGAGGGTAAATACGTTGATTTGCCCGGTAATGTAGATAACGTGGTTGTGAGGTTCCCTCCTGAAGCCAGTGGATATCTTCACATTGGTCATGCCAAAGCTGCTTTACTCAACCAACATTATCAACTTATTTACAAAGGTAAATTAATTTTCCGCTTTGATGACACTAATCCAGAAAAAGAAAAAGAAGACTTTGAAGAAGTAATTCGTGAAGACTTGAAATTACTGGCAGTCAAACCTGACATTTGTTCCTATACATCTGATCACTTTGATCTTATCCTTGAACAATGTGAAAAATTACTTAAGCAAGGATTAGCTTATGTTGATGACACGCCAGCTGAGCAGGTCAAAGTGGAAAGAGAGGCTCGGCAGGAGTCAAAAAATCGTGGAAACAGTGTTGAAAAAAATCTCCAGCTATGGAATGAAATGAAAATTGGAACTGAATTAGGAAAAAAGTGCTGTGTTAGAGCTAAAATTGATATGGCCTCTAATAATGGTTGCATGAGGGATCCGGCTATATTTCGATGCAAAGAAATGGCTCATCCTAAGACGGGTAACAAATACAAAGTTTACCCTACTTATGATTTTGCTTGTCCAATCGTCGACAGCTGTGAAGGTGTTACTCATGCATTGCGAACCACAGAATATGAAGACCGAGATGAACAGTTTGCGTGGTTTATCAAAGCGCTTGGACTGAGAGATGTCAATATTGTATCTTATGCTAGATTGAATATGATGAATACCGTTTTGTCAAAACGAAAACTGACATACTTTGTAGAGGAAGGAATTGTGGAAGGTTGGGATGACCCTAGAATGCCAACTGTTCGTGGCATAATTCGTCGTGGTCTGACCATTGATGGACTCAAACAATTCATTATTGCTCAAGGTTCATCTAGGTCAGTAGTTTACATGGATTGGGATAAACTTTGGAGCTTTAATCGTAAAATTCTTGATGCCAATTGTACCCGGTTAATGGCAATCGAAGCTGCCAATCATGTTGTTTTGAATCTTAATTGTCCTGATGGCACTGTCCAAATACCAGCTCACCCAAAAAGAACAGACTTGCCAATGCTTAATGTTTCTATTGGACCTAAATTACTTATTGAACAGTTTGATGCTCAACAAATCAAGAAAGGAGATAAAGTTACTTTAATGGGATGGGGTAATATTTTGGTCCAAGATGTTAATAAAGGTTCCAATGGTCAAGTTATTTCAATTGATGGCCAATTATCACTGGAGGATAAAGATTTCAAGAAAACACTGAAGATTTCTTGGTTAAAGGCAGACACGTCTGTTGTTGCTAAATTTATATACTATGAACATCTTATTCTTAAACCTTGTCTCGACAAAGGAGATGATTTCAAAGACTTTATCAATAAAGAAAGTGTCAAGCAAGTAGAATTCTTGGTCTCTGATACTTTCCTTCGTGAACAGAAGAAAGGAAAAGCATTTCAATTTTTGAAACGTGGATACTTCATCGTCGATGAGGAATACGATGAAAAGACGATAGCTCATGTCGGTAAACCACAGCCAGCCGTTTTAATTTCTATTCCTGATGGTACTACTGATCTAAATATTTTCCCTCAAGATGTGATTGAATGGAAAAAGAAGATTCGAGATGAAAGCTTAAAATTGGTTCAAGATATCTCGAAAGGAAAATCCAAGAAATCAACGGAGGTCAAAAACTCAGTCGAAAATAACCAGGCACAGCAGATTGACTATGGTACAATTGATGCTTCCAGTGAGCTTGGACGTGTAGTTCAAGGAATTCAGATTATTGGCAACAACATTCGCCTGTTGAAGTCAGCTAACGTGGATAAAAAAATAATTCAAGAAAATGTAAAGCTTCTTCAAATAATGAAAGATAGTTTCAAGACTTTGACTGGTAAAGAATATGTACCACCACCTCAGCCCGTGGTCGAGAAAAAGCCACAATCAAATGCTTCTGCAAAAGATTCAGGAAGTAATTCTGGTGGAGCGGGTGAAATTAATCAACTAATCAACGACATAAAATCTGTTGGTGACAAAATTCGTCAATTAAAAGCTGATAAAGCAGATAAAAAGATTGTTCAAGAAAATGTTCAAGTGCTTTTAGATCTTAAAGGAAAATTCAAAGCTCTTACTGGTCAAGAATATGTACCAGGTGCTCAGCCTGTAGTTGAACAAAAGCCCCAATCCAATAATTCTGGTGCGGACAATGAAGTCGCTCAGCTTAATAATGACATCAAATCTGTTGGTGATAGCATTCGTCAATTGAAAGCTGACAAAGCAGACAAAAAGGTTGTTCAAGAAAAAGTGAAAATTTTACTAGAGTTGAAAGAAAAATACAAAGCACTCACTGGTAAAGATTATGTACCAACTCCTCAACCTGTTGTTGAACAAAAGCCACAACCGAGTGCTCCTGTTAAAGAACCAGGAAATAATTCTGGTGCAGAAAATGAAACTCAACTTAACAACGAAATAAAATCAGTTGGTGACAAAATTCGCCAGTTGAAAGCTGATAAAGCAGACAAAAAGGTTATTCAAGAAAATGTTCAAGTGCTTTTAGATCTAAAGGCAAAATTCAAAGCTCTCACTGGTAAAGAATATGTACCTGGTGCTCAGCCCGCAGTTGAACAAAAGCCCCAATCCAACAATCCTATTAAAGTTGCAGGAGACAATTCTGATAAAGAAAATGAAATCACTCAACTAAACCATGGCATTAAAACAGTTGGTGATAATATTCGTCAATTAAAAGCTGATAAGGTGGATAAAAAGATTATCCAAGAAAATGTTCAAATTCTTTTAGATCTTAAAGCAAAATATAAGGAAATAACAGGAACAGAATGGGTTCCACAGCCAGCTAACCAAACTCCTCAGACCAAACCCAATCAATCTAATCAGACCAGTAAACCAAAACAAGCCAAAGACGCCAAGAAAAGTCCCGCCAAAGATACACCAAAAGAAGAGAAAGCTGGTGTCAAAAAACAAACGCGATTAGGAATTGAATCCAAGAAAGATGAGAACCTTGCTGATTGGTATACAGAAGTAATAACCAAATCAGAAATGATTGAATACTATGATGTTAGTGGCTGTTATATCCTGCGTCCTTGGGCTTATGCTATATGGGAAATGATTCAAAAATTTTTGGATAATGGCATTAAATCTCTCGGAGTCGAGAATGTCTATTTTCCAATGTTTGTTTCACAGGCAGCACTCGAAAAAGAAAAAACTCATATCGAAGACTTTGCTCCTGAAGTAGCTTGGGTTACAAAGTCTGGACAATCCGATTTAGCTGAGCCCATAGCCATTCGTCCTACTTCAGAAACTGTAATGTACCCATCTTTTGCCAAATGGTGCCAATCACATCGTAGTTTGCCTATTAAAGTAAACCAATGGTGTAATATCGTTCGTTGGGAATTTAAGAATCCAACTCCTTTCTTACGAACCAGAGAATTTCTTTGGCAAGAAGGACACACAGTTCACGCTGATAAAGAGGATGCGGTCAAGGAAGTTTATCAAGTGTTAGATCTATACACTGCAGTCTATGAACATTTACTAGCTATACCAGTGATAAAAGGCAGAAAAACAGAAAAGGAAAAGTTCGCTGGAGGAGATTTCACTACAACAATTGAGGGTTATATTCCAAGTAATGGGAGAGGTATTCAAGCTGCCACTTCACATCATCTTGGTCAAAATTTCAGTAAAATGTTCGAGATCATTTTTGAAGACCCCAACGAACCCGGTAAAAAGTGTTATGCATACCAGAACTCGTGGGGACTAACAACTCGAACTATTGGTGTCATGATTATGGTGCACTCTGATGATAAAGGACTTGTGTTGCCACCAAATATTGCACCCTATCAAGTAGTAATAGTGCCTTGCGGAATAACAGCAACAACAACAGATGAGGAGAAGACTAAATTGTACGAGGAATGTAACAAATTGGCTGCATCATTGACCTCAGCTGAAATAAGATGTAAATGTGATCTTAACGATCATTACTCTCCAGGTTGGAAATTTAATCATTGGGAATTGAAAGGTGTACCAATAAGAATTGAATTGGGTCCCAAAGACTTGAGTAAAAAACAATTCGTAGCTGCTCGTCGTGATACAGGAAACAAAGTTACTTATAATTTGGACTCATCAGTAGATTCAATCAAAAAACTTTTGACGACTATTCATGATAATTTGTTCAATGTAGCCAAAAAGTCTAGGGATGACCATCTGTCTGTTGTGTATGATTGGAATGATTTCTTGACCAAATTGGATCAAAAATACTTTCTGATTGCTCCTTTCTGTGGTGAACCTGTCTGTGAAGAGCTGATTAAGAAAAACAGTGTCAAAGTCGATCAATCTGATTCTAGTGGACCTTTAATGGGTGCTAAATCACTTTGTATACCTTTTGATCAACCTAAAGCCATAGATGATGGAATGAAATGTGTAAATCCACACTGTAAAGCGAAACCATCATTTTTCACTTTATTCGGTAGAAGTTACTAGAGGTATACAATGCAATAAAAAACTAAACAATCGAGAAGAGAAATGTCATTCAAATATTTAAAAGTTTTTTAACTCAAAATTTGATAAATATAATAAACAATTAAAAAAATACTCTCAATATTATCCTATCTTTATTCATTTGACAACCGAGCTGACTTGACCTTTCAGAGTCTCAAATCTTTTCCCCAATTCATAATCAATGCTACTTTTTAATTCCTGGAGTTCCTCAAATCTCTCTTTGGCCGACGTCAATCGCGTTCGAATTTCTTTAATCTGTGTTGTGAGTTGCAATGGATTTGGCGTTTCCTGTAAAATAAAAGTAAAGAGTGAAAATATAAAGGAGTAAATGATAAAAAAATGAATAAACAAAATACCTCAATGACAGATTCATCCAATAAATTGGTGGTTGATAGTGCAGTTGTCTCTAAATGGGTTAATATGCTTTCCAATTTACAGTCACAATTATTTAGCTATGAATGGTTGAAAAAAAAGAGAAAATGAAAAAGCCAGGTAAATTGATGAAAACTAAACACGTTGATTCAATAATTTGAGTCAAACAGGTTAACAATACATTATTGTTATAATTAACTAAAAGGCAAAAAGGGGCCACCCACATTGACTTACCACAGCTTGCAATGTTTCAGCGCTCTTTGCCATTATTCAATTGACGGTGATGACAGAAAATGATCAATCAATTTTTTCACCAACACTAACTTTGATTTGTATTAAGTTTTTTTAACGAGCTCACACAAAGAGAAACAGAGAGAAGGAAAGAAATCCGCCAACTAATGAAAAATTAAAATAATACAATGTAATGATGAAGGTGACAATAACAATTAAAGTGAAAAGGTACCAAAAAAGATTGAAATTTATCGCGCAAACAAAATATCAATCAGCTGACTAAACCCTCCACATCCAAGGGAATGTATTATAATTGAATTGTTGAATTTCCTCGCGTCTTAAACATTAAACAAAATGTTGAAAAATAAGTCAATTAAACAGAATTGTTTGTCAATATCTTTAAACATGATTACCTGTAAATGCCATTTCCATCACAGATTTGTCAATCTATTCCAACACCAAATAAAGTGATGTTTAATCAATCCTTGCTAATTGAATTTGTACAAATCTTCAATTACTCTTGATCAAATTGCCAACAGTCGATTAATTGGCAGAAAATAATAATTGTTTCTAATGAAAATAAATCTTAACCATTTACCAAGGTGAAATCAGTTTATTTCATATCTAGTGTCAACACTTAATTAGACAATCATTAGATAAACAATCATTATTAAACAATCTTTGCGCTTTTCTTGCTCACATCAAGTTATAAATGAAAATTGTTACTCTCACAAAACAATCAAGATAATCAAAAATGATTGGCAACATTCACTTTAAACAGCAATTGAAAAGTGTGTAACCTGTAACACAGTTTAATTAAAAATGTAAATAACCAAATCAGGTCAACCATTGATTGTCTAGATTAAGGTAAAAGCTAGATTCTTGAAAGGTAAATATAAATTTACCATTGGACGACATTGATCAAGACAAAAATGGACTGAATTACCCAAATGGTTATAAAGGCAAAATTACGTTTCATATGATTTGAACAAAATCACGTGAAATCAATTGAACATTTTTTCATGTTTCATTGAATATTGAAAAAAACAAAACTCCACTTGAGATGGAATCAATTGGATATGAAAGGAAATAAAAATGAAAAATATTGATATCAAGTTAATCTGATTTACCTTTTTTACCATCATTTATATTATATTGACTGGCAATTATTATTATTTCAAATTGCAACTGTCAACAACATTCAACAAGTTTTAACATTTAATATTTAAACCCGGATATCAAAGTCAATCTAAAGAGGTAATACCTATGGATGAGGATGAAGAGGAAAAGACGAAATAATACAAACACAGTTTTTCAAGGAATCATTTCAATGGCTATTTAAAGGGAAAGATGAAAGTTGGTGAAAAGGTAAAAATCGTGATAAAATTCAGGGAAATGTGTTTCCTTTTCTGCTGATCTTTCAACACTTACGAATCAACTGCTCATTAACAATTCCTGAAAATGATTTCTACTTTTAAAAGCCATTTTTGCTTCTCAACCATAAGTTCATAATCTGCCTCATCACCATGAGTTTGTTAAAATTGAGAAGAAAAAGAAAAATAAAAATGAAAAATTGATGAAACGCGAAACATTGAAAAAAAGCACATCAACAGAAGCTTCTGAAAGACTTTCAACTGAAAAGCAGATAAGAAATTAAATGATCATTTAAAGGCAGGTGAATGGTGATTGTTGAGAGGTTTGATGGTTATGATTATGTTAATCAATTGAAACAGCAAGAATTAACATGATGCAGGAAAACGAGAAACAAACGGTAAAAAGACTCAAGTCTTGATCAAGATTAGCTTTTAAATTTACTTGTTGATTTATTTACTTTTGTTGATCGCCTTCTCCAGAATCTTGATTAGCTGATTATTATAATTTAATCATTGACTTGAAATTTATGTTTATCATGTTATCATCATCATCATCATCTATTTAATTTATCCTGTCGACAGCTTTTCTCTGTATTTGTTTGTTTCTCGTTTCTTTAACTTTTCATCTTGCCAGCACCTTTGTTTCTTCATTTCAAACTGATCATCATAATGATGATGATGAGTGCAATTGTGATGATGATGATGGTTAAGCTGATGGTTAACCTGATGGTGGTAGTCAGGATGATGAGGAGTAAAAATTGAAACATCATATGTCATTTCATTTCAACATCTTTTTCACATTTTCCCTCAAATCTTTCAAGAAATGATAATAAACATGAAAACATGTTTTCCTTTTTATTTTAAATATTGTCGCAAGTCTTCAGCTGATGATAATCATTATTAACCCGCATATCAATCAATGTCATCTGCTTTGCCCATTAATTAAATCACATTGATTAATCAATTTTCAATTAACACTTTTCTTTTTCTGGTTTGGGTTCAAGTTAACCCAAAAAAAAACGCTTTGGACTTGGCTTTTAAATTTAGGCTCTTCCAAAGGTTGATTCAATGTTTGCTTTTACAGTTTAATTATTTAAGGTCTAAACAGGAAAATTAAGTGATCAGTTGATTGCTGATGATATCAATTATTAAAGACATTTTGTTCAAGACAAGTTTATATTTTTAATGATACATATTAACAAATATTTACAAAAGATTACGTTTTTTCCTCTCATTTGTCAGGCTTTTTTACAGGTTTTATTGGTTTAGTTTTTGTACTTTCAAAAGTCAAGTCCAATGTTAATGTTTAAACAAACATTTCAACAAGAAAATTGAATTTACTTTTGAAACCAATTAAGTAGATTCCTTTCAAGTAATTTCATCTTTTGAGGCAACTTTTCATTCACCTTTCAGTTCTCGATCAATTGAATCATCGCTATCGTTGTTCACCTGCATCATGATGTTGGTTTCCTTCGCAGATTCATCCAAGCTTCGTCTTTGTTTTACTTTTCGCCCAAGTTCATTGGATTCGCCATTCGATTCGTCTTGCTGTTCTTCTCCTGTTTCCTCTTCTTCAATCATCGACACTGGATTTCGAGTTAAACGGGAAGTCACTTTACTTTCTTTCGATTTTTCACCTTTACGAAGATTAACTGCTTTAGCTGAATCAGTTTTAGTTTCAATTTTTGAAGTATTTTTAGTTTCATGCGATAAACTGGAATCTATTTTCTGCCGTTTCCTTGAATCTTTTTGACTTTCAGTTGCCTTGATAGCGTTATCAGCTTCTTCATGTTTTTTCAGCAACTCTCGAATTGCCTGAGCTCTCAACTCAAGTTCACGAATTTCCATCTCAGCTTGATCCAGAATACTGTCTAAATTTGTCGTTTCATTTGAAGTAGAAGCAGTTTCAGATGGAATGCCTTTCGATTCAGATTTTGTACTTTTTTCATCAGCTTTGGAACAATGGGCAACTTCACTTTCACTTGGAATGCAATTCATTTCAACCTGAATTTCCACGTCTTTGGCTTCTTTTGTCTTTACTTGATCAACATTCAAAGTTGTCTTTTCCCCGTCCTTAACATCAGCAAGATGAGTCTGTGTCAAGTCAGTCGGATCATCGGACTCTAAATGGGAGTAGAAAAAATCAAAATTAGAATCAAATTTTCATTTAAAATGTCAATGAGTCTAAAATGATGACCACAAAAGATTGAGCAAAGAAAAGCAAAGTGACTCGCTAATTTGAAACTTTTTCATGCTATTCACATTCTGGTAAAAGTTATTGAGAAAAATTTTCAGTTTACTTTTGCAGGAATGATCAAACTAATCACCAATGACGCTGCTTTTTTGATAAGAAGCAAAAAGGCAGCAAAGTTACAAGAAAAAAAAGGGAAACAATAAATGCGATAATATCTGAAATGAAAGCCAAATAATGGGAAATGGTAATAACAAAAGAAATTAATGTTCATCACTTAAATTTCAGTGAAAATCAGTAAACATCTTGGAGAAGGTAATGAAGCATATCTGGTTATTGATTACTTTTACTGGATGGAAAATGGAATGAAAAATTCTTATTAAATCAGCAAATCAACAGACAACAGTAATGATAATGATTATGGTGATAATGATAATGATAATAACTGTGATAATGATGAGGAATCATGATTATGATGGAAAGAAAAAGATGAAACAAGAAAAGTTGATAGAAATGAACTCATCATTGTCCAACTATTTTCAATATGTCAATTTATCTGATTACAATTCTCAGTTGGAAGTTAATGATTATCATCAACATTATTCCTTTGCTACTCTTTAATCCAATCAATTACATGGACAACAATTAATTAGAATAAACTAACCAAATTGATATCAACATGATTAACTGCCTGGTAAATGTAGCAATGTTAACATGCTTTAATCATGTTTACTTATTACACATTTAAGTGGAATAATTATCAAGTCCATTTATTTAATAATCATTAAAATGCGCTTCACTTTGGTAATTGTTTTCATCATTTACTGCAACAATTATGACAATCAAAAATGATAGTTTTGTTAATCGCATTTGCTTGACCTGGCCGATTATAAAACAAGTTAAAGATGGATGGCAATCAATTAAAGCATAATGATAATCATTCCAAGAATCATTTAACTTGGTGAATAAAATAATGAGTAAATCAAATAACATGGTAAAGAAGAAGAAAAAGAAGCAAAATTCAAGTTAAGAAACATGATTAAGATAATTTGATATTCATTCCAGTTACTACTTTTTTCACTTGAATCCTCCCAAAGTCTATATATACTTGAATAGTTTCTAATAAGCTGAACAAAAAAAGGAAATGTTGGAAACTTTTAAATAATATTAATGTGGATACAAGGTGGTTCATGGATTCCAAGTTGAAAGATGTTCTTTGGAAGTTTTGAAATGAGCTTCGAAATTGATTGTACATAGAAAATGAAAATGACTGAAATAAAGTTATCGGAAAAGGTCAAGGTTTCAGATGAAAGTTGAACTTGGAGGGTTTATGGATTTCATCGATGAAATTTACGTGAAGACAATGCTTTCAAAATTGAGTGAATCAACTGCGAAGCTTTCAATCAATCAAGAGTTAAGAAAAGTTCATATTTCAAAAGTTGATTCTAGAGATTTGTCGATGACCTTATCAATAACTGAAGACTTTATCTTAAAGAACTATAAAAGTTTACAAGAAAATACTTTTTAAGCTAAAACATCATCATTGATCGCATGAACCTTAGATTTTAGCTAGTTTTGGAACTGTGAGAATTTCAAGTTCAAACAAAACTGAACAAATCTTCACTGAATTTCGCTGTTACTCTGTTCCTTGAAATCACTGCAAATATTGTGCTTTTCCAGATTCTCGAACTTCTAACTTTGATTTTTGGATAATTTCAAAATTCGAGAGAAAAGTTTATTTTTGCTCAAATTTTCATCTTTCTGTTTGAATTCATCGACAACTTGACTGATGAAAAAGTTGAAACAATGAATATGAGGTTATCTTGTAACTCTCATGAAATATTGAAACTTGTATCGTTGTGATTCCAAGTTGAGTTTCAATTGAAAAACGTTTTCCTTGTTTTAAAGCTCAACCTATCCTCATCAACACTCTGTATGCAAAGCAATAAATTTACACATGAAGAGAAACAAAAGACAACAGTAACCACAAACACCGTACTACCAGCACCACCATGATGATGATGCTGATGATTCTTATTATGATGATCAACATTAAAGTTGGGCGGATCTGCATGATATAATTATTTATAATTAACATGCATTTAACCATATCATTAAACATTTAAAAGTAATTGCAGATAAAACGAGACTTGATATAAGACAATGAAGTAAGATGAAGGATGGTGAAGGAGGAAGAGACTGGGTGAGTTACTTGGTAAGGTAAATATCATTATCATCATTATGTTTTCAGTAAATTATGAAACTTTTTTTTTCAATTACATCTTTTAATTGTATTTATCTCTGTGTGCATTTAAGAGTTGCTTTTAGAGTTGCTTAAATTAATATGTTTCAACTTTTATTTGGTGAATGAGTTTTGTTTGCAACTTTTTTTTCTGGTTACGGTTAATTGTTTTACTTCAATCGGAAATGATTAATCAAAAAATGTTGACTCAAATTGTTGACAATTGACTAACAACCATTGAATTGGCAGAAATGAAAGAATCAAAAAGAGCATAAAATGGCGTTTGGGTTTGGACAAGAAAATGACTTAATCAATTTCAGGGAAACAGTGAAAAGTGTAAATTCAATTCTTAAATTCAGTTCAATATTCTGAGGTTGACTTTTCATCTGTAAAGTTATACATTTTAATGGACTTTAAATTGTTCAATTGTTCAATCAACAACTCAATCAACCTGTAAATTGTCTATAAATAAAATTGATTGTTACTCAATAAGATGACTTTCACTATTTACAGTAACAACACTAATTTATAAATCTATCAATTATTTTCGTTGTTCAACACAATTTCATCGAATTATTGCTCACCTTGATCGATAGTCGCGATTTCATTGGAATAATGATTCTAATTAAAACCAGATTCTCTAAAAACTAGGTTCAATTTTGTTTATATCAGTTTTTATATCAGTTTTTTTGTGTAGATTCAGCAAAGTAGTTAACTTTTTGTGAACTTTTGACAAACAAATTCTCAAAGGAGAAATGGCAAAAACTAATAATTTGTTTCAGCAGACTGTTGGATTCACATTAGATGATTCAAATCATCATGTTACATAAGATCATTACACTGGAAACGAATAAAAACAAATTAGTTTTCAGTGAATATCAATCAGTGTTAAAGTAAACTTTTTTTGAGGTTGAGAAGGGAGAGAATGAAGTCAAAAAAATCAAAATTAGAACATGAATTTAAAATAAAATCTCGAAACTTTTTTTGTCTCATCAATTCCATACAATAAACCTAATATCCAAGTCCTGAACACTTCTCAAATTTCGCATCGAACTGTCAAAAGAAGTGTTCCCTTTTGACAGATAAAAAGATAGCAAATATCTTCAGAACTTTATGGTTCATAAGTAGAGATGAATTCGAGAAAACACTTTTTCTTTACCTGGAAATATCTTGCCAAAGATTGAAAAATCTTGAAGTTTGACGTGTAATCAAGAGAGCGAATAAAGTCGAAAAATCAAAATCAGAAAATGAATTTAAAATTAAATCTTTTTTTGACAGTTTTCTTGTCGAACCAATTCCATGCGATAGAGAAGTTCTGAGCGCTCCTCAAATTTCGCATCTTATCAAAATAAGTATTCCCTTTCGACAAATAAAAAGACACAAAATATGGAACTTTATGGAATCAGAGATTGAATGGGAGAAAAGACTTTTTCATTTTCCTGAAAATATTGTAAAATCTTGAGGCTTGACCGGTAATCAAATATGAATTCATTAAAGAGTCAATTTTGAAATTAGCTAATAATATCATTGTTTAAGCTCTAATATCGCCTAATATTTGCATCGATTAAACGGATGAATTGAAATTATCCAGCATTTACTGATTATACAGGAGGATGACCTCAGAATTTGTAGTCTTTTTGAAAAAAACGGAAAACAAAAAATGAGTAAACAGTAGGTGAGGTCTCGACTGTGAAAAGATGAATTAAGACTGAATTAGCAACAGCAAACAACAAAAGCAAAAAGTTGAATGAAAACAAAAGATATTGGAATTAAATGAATGAATTGAAGGAATGAGCAAAGGAAAAAGGAAGAAAAATGTTGATAAAAATTGCAGAAAACACACGATATTGAGTTGCTGCAAAACACCCTCACAGTGAAAATGAAGCTTCAGATGATATTCAGAGTGTAAACTATCAACTGAAAGCGAGAAAAAAAACTCGTTAAACAGAAGAAGAAGAAAAAAATGGAATAAAAATGAAATTATTCTTGCAAGGGTTTGTCTTCATTATCATTCCAACCCGAGTTAATTTAAGGAGTTTAAACATCAAACTTGATAATATTAGCAATAATAGTAATGAGAGAGATTCATCTACTTTTCATTGCATGAAAATGACTGAAGAGTGAATTAATTATATCGATGATTCCTCATTTAATCATCCGACTGAGAGAGAGAGGAATAAGTGAGACCAGAAAACCCAAAATGACAAACTATCTTTGTGAAATTAGCGTCAACTCAATTAAGAAGAGAAACTTGAAGAGTCTCATGAAGGGATGAGGATGATGAGGAGGAGAAGGTGAGAGTTAAAAAACATTGAGTTACCATTGGAAAGTATATTTAGAAGTGTTTGGTGTTCAACCTTTTTCAATTGTTCAAGACATAATTTTTTCAGCTCGACGGTTGGTATATCCTGTCAAGAGAAGGCAAAAAATATCAATTAATATTGTAATTAGTTAATTAATATAAAAGATAATTATTTCAAATTGGATTCACAATTATAAAGAAGTGAGTGAGAAGAAGATGATAATAAGATTATAACATTTTGCTTTACTTTTTTTTTCTTCGTCTTTCCATAAAAACCAGAAAAAACCTAATCAAGATGGAGATAAGATAATTGAAATTTAAACTCGATTGATAAATGAAAGTTGAACATCATTATGAGTAATCATGGGATCCATTATGAACATTGTCTTACCAGTTTCAAGGGTTAACCTTAATTACTTTAATCTGATGCCTTGCAAGTTGCAAAAAGTTTCCTCCTGACATTAAAGTTACAATTTAAACATTTTTTTTCAATGGAATCTCTCTTCTTTCAGAATTGTCATGAAACCTGATTAATTTTCTTGCTGATTAAACCCATAGATAGTGAAAGGACGGAGAAGAATTATAAATACAGAAAAAAATGGATAATGAAACTAACTAGAAACTAATGGAAAGGGACTCGACAGGCGCGATAATAAGATGCTTTTCACAGGGAATGATAAATATAAATATATTTATACATTTTTCCATTGGAATAGTGTTTGTTGTACAAACACACATGGAAGAGGGAAGATGATGAAGGAGGTGAGGGGAGAGGATAACTCCTCAATCATACTCATTGCATAGTTTTTTTTCACTCATAAACTCAATTGAATTTGTTTAATTAAGTTAAATGAAGAAAGGCTTGGGAAATGCAAGGCTCATTTTAATTAAGCCAGGCAAAAAATTTGAGAAACAAGCAGCTTATAGCTTTTTTTGCTCTCTTTCATTTTTTCACTCTTTATTATTATTTTTATTATTATTTAACCCTCAATCGGTTTTATCATATAAACTAGAAGTGGAGTTTAATGAGCAATTTTTTCTCATCTTCATGGCTGCTTGATCCATTCATTACAAATCATACTTCCATCACTTTGTCGTTCATTCTCATCATAATCATTCCCTTTTTTTAAGTCAAATTTTGCATAAAAGATGATGATGCTGGTGGTGAGGATGCTTTACGACATTCATCTGATTCAATTGTTTATTCATTTTTCCTGATGGATTCCATTCGCGATGAGTTCTTGTCATTGCAAGAGAATCGCTCTAAGAAGCAAGTTACATTGTTTTAAGAGGGAAAAGAATGAGAAAACTTTGCATGTCTTTAGATTCGTTGCAAGTTCGAGAAACTGCGAATTTCATCAGAAGTTACGGAAGAATCTTGCATCAAGAGATTGCAGTGAGTTCCGTGTGTAGATGAATGAAAAGGCGATGAAAATCTTTATCAACCTTTTCTTGTTAACAGGGAAATCGCTTGAACCGATTCTACTGACCAGAACAAACCTAATTGCATCTAAAGCAATCATCGAACTGAATTTATCGTTACTTTAACAAAGAAGGCTGAGAACTCATTTTTTCAATATTATTCATGAAACGAAATGAAGCATTCAGCCTAGATTAATTTAAGGAGATAAACAGTCAAATATTAAGGATTTGGTTTTGGTGATTGTTTCTTATCAAGGATTCTACTTCTATTTTCTGGTTTCTTCCTTTTGAGTTTCTCTAGTGAAAGATGTTTCAATTCTGATTGAACCTCGTTGATTAGTCGATGAATCTGTTTGATAAGATCACACATCCAGAAATCACTTGAAGCTCTTGAGACTTGGTGATACATAATAGCATGTAATGTAAATAAGACAATGTACTGCCCTAGAAACTAGCGCTCTGGTCAGTCGAAATGAAAGCTTCGAATTATGGATCGATTTACTTTTTTGCAATCAAAAAGTATCAATAGTTGTCCGGCAAAAATCGCATCAGCCAAAAATTGAAAAGAGCAAAATGAAAATGTTTTCTCTGAGTAAATGCTCATTTTATGCAGAACATTTATCTTACATGGAAATATTTAAATTTGCATTTCTTTTCAATTCATCAGGCCATTAATTTTGTTTAAACATTTTACTCAACTCAGCTCGTTTCTTCATTCAAATTTGTGGCAATCAGAGACTGTTTACAGCTTCATCATATTTTCAATTATCAAATAAGTTTCAATAGACTACAATAATTAATAAAATATAATGTGAATCCTCTTTGGAGTCGCTTGATTCAAAAATATCAGTAAAGGCTACAAGGATGGATGAAAATCATTCATTCAAGTCAGTAAATTACTAGGAGATTGAGATGGTAAAATCGTTTATAACTCAATTTGCGGTGTAAAAAGCTTCTGGTTGATACGGAAACTCGAATTGGTAGACAATTTTCAAATCGATAACATGATTAACCGGCAAAAGAAACATGAGCTCAATATTGAACATTACCTAACTAATTGCAATTTAACTTTCCAATTTCATTTTAAACATTAAATTTCTAACCAGCTAACCAACTTGGAGGAGAAACTAATTATTCAAACCACGAGCTACTCTGATTTTAATCATGATGGATTAGCCAAACTAAATTATCTGTTAACATTTTCAGGTAAAATTTTGATAGGTAATACATCAAATTGGGTTCTAATTTAAATAAAAAAATTGACTGAAAAAATACTAAAAATGAAAACAAAACTCACCTTAAGAGAAGCTGGTACAATATCTTTGGGTAAATATTGAGCAGCAATTTTAAATACTTCATCAATTAGCTTTTCTGGTTCATTGATGAGTCGAGATAAAGGTTCAATGGGTTGTGTTAGATCTAAATCATCCAAACTCCACTTCAATTTGCGATTCTGAGAAGAAGAACAAGAAAACAAAAACAAAAATAAAACAAAAGCTAAAGACAAGCAACTAACCAGAAAACATGACAAATGGTAAACATATGGAACCAGAACATGTGAATGGGAAAAAGACATTAATTTCTGGTAACTTACCTGACCAACCATTTTAACTGCCAATCAAGCAAAAATAAAACCAATAACGAAACAATTACAATAATTAAAATAAATGTTAAAATGAAATCAACAAAAACAATCAATAAAACATGATATTGAGCCAAACAAACAACAAGAGTCAGCAGTTGAGGGACCGTTTTATAATTTAGAAATGCAAAACAAAGGTAAAAATTAAAATTGAATGTAAAGATGAAATTGAGAAGTAAACTTGAGTCAACATTGAGACCAATTAAAATTAATAGTCTCGATAAAAGGGAAATGTAAAAAACCAACAAAAATAATAATAAAGTTATAATACCTTGCGGCAATTCCCTGTTCAATGCAAAAAACAGATTAATCATTATCATGAACAGAGAGCGATAAAAAATCAAGTTGACAATTGACGAGAAAAAAAATGTTGAATGACAAAAGCAATAAGAGGGAAAAGAAAGATTATTTAATTCAAAGTGAATCTGAAATATAAATTAATAATTAAAGAATGAAAAAAATGGACTAATCAGGGAAGGCAAAAAAGACTGAACCAAATGATAGAAACTTTTCTAATCTCAATTGAACATTTTTTACACATTCATTTCTTTGGAACCCTTTCCTCTCTTTCCTTCCCTCATCATCCCTTTTCCTTATGCATCCCTGAGATCTGCTTGGATTTCATTTGAATGCTTTCGTACGTTTGAATTTAATTAATTAAATTGAGTTAATTAAAAAGAGGAAGAGAGAGAGAGAGAGAAGAGAAAAAAGGAGAGAAAAAAAGAGGTAAAAAAAATAAATAAATACAAATATAAATATTCGTATAAATGAAAGTGTAGGTTGTGTGATATGATGTTTTTCAGGTTCCTTAATATTCATTGTGAGGATGAAAAGGTAATGGAAGTGAGCTTAACCCTTTGGCAGTAATTTATATGGAAAAAGATAGGCTCTTCTTAATTACATCTCCATAGTATATTAAAAATCCAATTCATTTCACAGGCGATCTAATCAATTTTCAGTTTAATACTCGTTTAACGACAATTTTGGGTTTCAGCAAAATTCATCGGCAAATTTCAAGAAAAGGAAACAAACTTTTAAAAAGTGAACCCAATGATTGATTGGAATCGATTAAAAGACATTTACTATTACATGGTTGCTTGGTTGATAAGAAAGGAGTCTTAAATGATTATTTTCACCAAATACTTGAGGAAAGCCGATAATTTAGATGAGCAAATTTAATACAATTAATTAATTGTAATTGGTGTCGCTCTTCAATTGATGAACATGATATTACAATGTAACAAGTCTGGGCAGTCAATCGTTGCAGTTGACTGAATATTTCTTCGATTCTTGAAATGATCGAAGCCAATTCTTCATCGACTAGTGGCAATGCTCACACAGATCAGAAAATCAAGTTATGCTGAATGCAGAACGAAGTCAATCTAGCCATTGAGTAGCGACCGAAATATTGTGCCTTTATTTACCTTAAATTCTGGTTCATTTAAAATTCCTATTTAACACGAACCTTTCAAATGTTTTGATCAACCCTTGCATCGACCAGCTTTGATAGCAATAGCATTATAATTGTAACTGTTCAAAAGAAGTGATAATATTTCTACAATTCTTGAAACTCGCTTTTGAAAATGCATCAATAAATGAAAATCGATTGGTATTGACATCAAAATAGAATGCAAATTGATTTTCTTTGTTTAGCTTCGAACAGAAATCCGATAAAATTGTCGTCAAAAACTAAGACTCAATCGAAGCGAAACGAGCCTTAAACCGCCAAAATCGAATCTGAACTTCCCTTCAAAACTTTTGGCATTTAAATAACTCATATTTTTCTCGATTCCGTTAACAAATTCCTCAGTCAACTTGTTACGATTTAAAAACCAAACAGCAATTTGATTAGATAATCTTAGAATCCTGAACAATCTAAGTCTTGTTTACATAATCCTGACTTTTTAATTTACCAGAAACGTCTCCCAATCCAGCTGAATATCAATCTAATCCAAGATTAAAAAGATGAAAAATTATACAATTTGATTTCTTATTCAACTGTTGATCAGAAATTGTCATTTTTAAATAACTCAGCTTCGACTTTTGAAATGTTTATTCAATAATTAATCGATCAACTGACCAACTTATCATTAATCCTGAAAATCCTGACAATTTTGGGTCAATCAGACTTTTTCCTTCTCTCAACATTATTCAATATGGAATATAAATTTGTAATTTTGGCCAACATTAAACTTCTGTTGACGACATTCAACTGTTGTCATCAACTGATCACTTGATTAATTCACAATTATTCTTGACGTTCCACTGACATCAATAATGATTATTGCGGTAATTATTTAAAACACAAAAAAACTGAAACTTAATTGCATACGAATTATATTTCAACGAGAAAAAAGGCAGAAAAGTTGCTCTAAAAAGTTATATTGACAGATGTTTTCACTTAACATTTAATACGATTGTTTATTGACTCAATAAAAGCAGTTATCATTATTACCTATTTAACTTTATTGTCAATAATTAAAAACTGATTGATGAATTGACTTCCAATTGTGACTTTTGTAAACTTTTGTCATCTTCAGATGAGAAACAAAATGCTCTGTTTTTTTGCCTCAACATTTCCATTAATTTCAACCAATTTGTAGGTTTGCTGGAGCATAAAAAGCGCCGAAACCAACAAGAATTGTTTCTAATCAGCAATCAAAGTTAATCATGAATCAACAATTAAATTAAAGTAAAAAGAAAAAGTTTAAAAGTTTCATTTTCTTGGATCAATTGAAATTGAAATGATTCAGTAAATGCAAATGTATCAGCTTTACCCTTCGCAAAGCACTTTTGTGAACTTTTAACCGATTGATTTGGGTTCCATTAATAGACATTTTTAATTCAATAACACTGATTAAGATGGAAACATGATCATGTTTTACATTTGAAAGGCCGCAATGCGGTTAAAAAATGGTTTGATAAAAAAAAGTTAAATTGATTAGGAACAGAAGATGAAGGAAGACGAAGGATGCTGAAAAAAAGAGAAGACAAAAAGGGAAATCTTCTCAAGTGTAGAGATGAAGATTGAAGGTAAAAATTTGCAAGGTTAGGCTTATTAGAAAATTGAATTCCGAAATGATCCCGAGTCAGGCGATATTAATTAACAAGGAAAAAAGAAGCTAAAACAAGATTCAAATTAAATCCATGATGAAGCATCCAACATGGCTCATCATCCAGCTCATCTTTAACCTCAACTTGATTCATTTCTAATTTCAAAAGAAAATCATCTTCAGAAGAGAAAAAAAAGAGAAAAAATTCTCTTCCATTTCAACCCTTCTCACTCTTCTCCATCTTTAACAAGCCTTTTCACCATCAACAGTCAACCCTTTATCCTCATCATATCCATTAAAACTTTGCTCATCTTTTCTCGGAAAGAATTTTTTTTTCGCTTTTCTCTTTTTTCTTCCTCTTTACCACAAATTTGACAAATTTGCGGTTCCTTTCAAGATAAACAAGGTCCACCTCCCCTAACCACCTCCTGATGCCACCCACTCTCCATGATAACCAGCTGAACTAATTTGATTAAAAGGTAACTGTTAATTTGACTTCCTTTTTCATTTTAACCCAAACCTTGTTTACCTTGTTATTGGTAAATGCAATTGTCTTTTGCTTTTTGCTTGTCATTCATTTAATCAATTGTTTTATGCATTATGTTATCAACTTGTTTGAACAATTATTTTAATTTTTATTTCAATTCCTTTATTCAGGATTCGTTAATCATTATTCAATTGGAAACTTATTAGACAATCAATAAGTGCACATTAATTAACTGTTAAATGGTCTTCGCTTTAAAACAAAACAATTAAAGGCTGTTAATCGTTAATCATTAATTCATTATTTTTACCTTTTCTTAAATAATTTTACATTTGGAATAACTTTTTTTGTCTCTTCTCGATTGCTTTTTGCTTTTACTGTTGTTGTTGGACTAATCAATATTGAGCTTATAAAATGGATCGGTTGAAATTAATATTTTTGGATATTTAATGATGACAATTATTAAATTATGAAAACCACGCAACTTTCAACAAAAAGTTCATTAAGAAATGAGCAAACACCATTAGAATAATTAAGATTGTGTTGAAAAAACTAAATGATAAGTTAATTTTATGAAAAAGAAAAGGTTGAATAATTAAATTAAAAATGATTATCGATCAAATTGATTAGCTACTCAATTATCATCCAATGTATATCAAAATCGTCATTTCGCGAATCAAAACTATTCTTGGATCTGGAAAATTCAAGTGATCAGATCTTTTCATGTTGATATTTGGTGCATTAAAAATCAATTTTTGGTCTTTTCTTCAGATTTTTCTTCGTATTCCAATTTCAAGATCAAAATTGCCAAAATCGTTGAAATGGTTTCAGCTTTGCAAAAAGATTTCTTACAGATTATAGCGAAATGGCCGAATAGAACCATGATTTATATCGAAAATAATGACCACAGATTAACCTTCCAATCCGCTTATTTAGACAATAACTAAAGAGTTGAAATTCGAGTCGAATTTTGAGGTTTATGCTTTACGGAGTTGAATGTTGCCACAAAATTCACCAATCGTTACCAAAATTGTTTTGAAAGATTTACTTTCAGCATTTGTCCGACTTGTGGATCAAACTTCTGATTTCTTTCAACTTTCTGAGTCGATTTCTGATAGAAGTCGGTCCTTAGGGTCAATACGATAAAGAGCTTCAACTTGTTGTGGCGAATTTCAAAGCCCAAAGCATTTCAATTTCAATTGAAGAATGTATTGCTTTGCTAAAATATTTGAACAAAACTCAAAATTAAGACTCATTCGCTCCTGATCGTGAAATGGGATTTTATTGAAACTTTTGATATTTGTGTTTTCAGATATTTGCTATTCATTGTATTGATCCAAGTTTATCAATGATTAAAAGAGAAAATTTAAAATTGTATTAAATTTCATTTTTCTGATTACATGAGCATTGAGCTGCCCTAGTGACTAAACGAGGTTCAACCCGCAGAGTCAAATTACAATGTTGATTGTTTCATTTCAATTGTTGCAAGTCCTACAAACCATTGATCAGTTGAAAGGAAAGTGCAAAGCAAACAATTGAAATTGAATTTACATCAATCTCTTGATTACCAGCA